GATCTTAGAGTCAACGCTATGAATCAGCTGGTAGTAGTAGTAGTAGAGGGGTTGCTCGGGCCTTCTGAGTGCACTGTCAGGACCATATAGCGTGTGCATTGGGGCCGGTTCGGACACGGGAAGAGCTGCTACCATTCCTCACTGAATTGGTAGTAGTAGTTGCTCGTCGTTGTTTCATCGATCGGCCTGACTTGTAGGCTATGGTTGACGATGTAGCGTCTGATACGGTGGATGAGACTAGGGTCTTGACGGCTATGGCTCGGGTGAGCAGGGCTGGAGGTTCCTAGTAGGAGGGCACATGGGTTGTGTCCTTTGGGAAGGTACTTAATGCTGATTTCATGCAGTGGCTAGGCGGGGCGCAACACGGTCAGTGTTTGCTGAGACCACTGGAGGAGCTCGCCAATTCCGATGATGAGCCGAGACGCGAGGAGGCTGTGAAGAGCCTTATAAGCATCGCTAAGGTGTCATCCCTTGTGCTGCTGCTGGTAAGAGTGATTGTCGTTATTCAGGCCCTACCACTTAATACACTGGAGACCTACTATGTGCCGATGTTGCGCAACATGGCGGCTTCCGACTGGTTCTGTCAGCGAGCAGTAGCTGTCGCCCTCCTACCTGCTGTTGTATCTCGTAAGTGTCTCATCGAGGTAGCATCGTTGTAGTAGTAGTGTGAACTTATGATCAGGCCTGTGTGCTCGGAAGAAAGGCTCAGGCGGAGGTAAGGTCATCGGTGACCCGGTGGTGGTATTGGTCGGTGTAGATCCCCCACTGGCGTTGGAGTTGGTGAATACACTCTTCACGAGCTTGGGGGCGGACGACTCTCCCATGGTCCGACGGGCGGTTTTCCAAGTGGGCTACAGCGGGCTGGTCCCTGGTCAGCAACGCTTGTCATAAGGAAGTCGTCGTATAGGTACTGGGTGACATAGCAGCTGCGGTGTTCCCTGTGAGCGATACTGTGAATCAGCTTACTGAGGTAGTATGGGATGCCAGTGCTCCAATACTGTCATTGCCTTATGAACTCCTGTTGCCATATGTAGTAGTAAAGTGAACAGTAATTTCTTGAGGAAGACTCCACTACCCACGAGAACCTGTGGTCGTTGAGCCCGTACTTGTGTGTAGTTGTTCAAGTGCCTGGCTAGAGACGAGCAAGAGTCCGTCCGTATACTCACGGTGCCTGTGTGCATCCAGCTCGGGAAGTGCCTCGCAGCGCAGCCTTATGAAATTGTAAGTGATCACCTCATGAGCTGGCCAGGAGTATTGGAATAGTTGATAGGTTAAAGACCTGCTACCATCGATTCACTCCTGTGGGGAGGACCAGCATTCGTGGAGGGTGCGCTACATGGTGGCCGATAAAATTGAGGATGTTATAGAAGCAGTCCCTGAGAAGGTCCATATGCAGGTTAGAGTATCCGTTCCGTGTTGTATAAGCATCCATGTATTCAGATTTTCCCGCTGTTCATGCGCCTTCTCGCCGATCCTGAGCCGGAGGTACGTTGTGTAGCATGCGACCGTCTATGCCTAGTAGTCAAGCACAAGGCCGATCGAGACATGATGGAGGATCTCAGCGGGCCAGTAAGAAGCAACTCTACGTGGTAGTTCTTTAATCTTGTGCTTGGATCAGATGACGAAGCTCCTGCATGATCCTTCCGATGCTGTAAGGGCTAGCTTTGGAGCATCCCTTATGAAAGTGGCAGCCGTAGTGGGACAGGACCTAACAGTAGATTACCTTACAAAACACGTAGGCTCCGTGGTATGTGATGTTATGAGAGAATTTCAATAGTCAGATTCTAGCGGTAATGAGAGACCAGAGTACGAACGTTCGGCTGGCTGTAGTTGAGAACTTAGGGGAGCTCAACACGGTATGTCAGCATGGTCATCCCTTGGGCTCGTCTATGGCTTGTGTGGAGCTCAGGTGGTGTCCTTGGACCATATCTCAAAGAGTCTTCTCCCGACGATAATCGACTTGGCTTCTGATAGGCAGTGGAGGGTAAGCTTCGGGTGGGCCGCTACAGTGTGATTACATTTGGAGTATCCCTGCGGCTCATTTACGGTTGCATCGTGTTCAGGTTCGAATGGCGATTCTCCAGCAAACGCCTAAGCTAGCGACCACTCTTAGTGCCAAGACCTTTACTACTGAACTGCTAGCCACCGTCATGCGCTGGTGAGCTCCACTGGTTTGTGACTCATTGAGGTTCTCTGTGTAAGGCTGTGTGACCCGGTGTATTCGGTCCGTGTGGCCGCGACGGAGAATCTTGCTAATCTAAGCGTCGCAATGGGGACTTCCTGGGCAGTGGAGAATATAATACCGCACTTGCAGGAACTGTCTAAGAATTCAAACTATTTGTATCGGTGAGCGAAGCGAAGGAGGACTAACGGGCATGAGGTATTCTCATCTTAGGATGACAGCTCTGATGGGTGTGGTATCGATGGCCAACGTCCTCGACGAGAAGGCCTGTGCAGAGTTCCTTATGCCGTTACCGAGGTATGAATCTCCACCTTTTGTGGAAGCTTTATCCTCTTCACTCGTTCATGTTGGTATCAATACTGGCACTATTAGGAATTGATTAGATCTGAGGTTTTTTGATTCAGTGGGTATGTAGTAGCAGCAGGAGTGGCTCTTGATTCAAGAGTATTGAATCGAAAGGTTCAGTACTACTGATTTACAGGATTGTCATGGTTGCTTGATGTTAGGTCACTTGTCCAGGACTCTGTCGCGAACGTGCGCTTCAATG